TTTGCAAGGTGAAGTGGTACAATTTTGAAAAGTGAGGGAAACCACATGGAGAATTCTAAAAAGTTCATGGAAGAATCCATTATCTTTTTTAAAAGTTTGTATTGTGAACTGAGTGATGGTTTATGTGGGAGAACATCGGTTTTACACTCATACTATCGCATGTCATTTCATTGCAATGATTAGAATCCCCTCCGTGCATCATCATTCAACAGTATTTGCTTCAATTCCATTTTGTTTTTTTTGGATGTACACAAAAACACTCAGGAATATATAATCATTTAAACCACCAAAGGGCACATTCTGCATGCTTGCCTCCTGGCTGCCAGAACACAGCTTTTCTCTTTCCTTGAGTCTAGAGTCCTCAGCTACTCTCTTTCTCCATGTCCTCATCTCTGCCTCCATCCCTGGTGTCACTGCTTCTCTGCATATGGTACCACATTCTGCTCATGCTCCTCTCCCTTGATGGTCCTAGGGTCCTCTGTTCCTGGAATGTAAAGTTAACTACGCCCCCCTTTTTGTTACAGAACTTCTACCTTTACAGTTGTAACAATCACAATTAGTCATGATAACAATTGCTCACTACTGAAAGAATCCATTACCTAGGAACTTTTTGAAGCCCCCACCTAACATGTTATAGATGCTTTAGTGTATCTAGAAGTGGTTCAGTGTTGCTAAACTCACAGGAAGATATTCTATATACTAATACAAACATCTGACTAGCTGACGTGATGTACAAACCATACCTCACTGTCCGACTTACATACAAAGTTGACAAAAAGACAGATTTAAGATGGACACTCATACATAATACGACTGCCTCTAGTACTAAGTCTGATACTTCAATTTCCCCCTGAATATTCTCTTCATTTTCACAAAGACAATTTCATCTCTTTGCACCACATTGCTAATCCACACTGAGCTATATTTTACTTCATGGCACTTGTCACTCTGTGTAATGGCATCTTTAATGACTCCCCTAGGATGTAAACTACATGAAGGACAGTGTCTGTTTTGTTCACCACCATATTTCCAAGGCTTCAAACTCTGTCTGGGGTTTCACCGTTGTTAAGTGCCATCCAGTTGGCTCCGACTCATAGAGATCCTGAATAGGGTTTCCACGAGTGGCTCCTGGGTTTGACCCACCAACGTTGCCATTAACAGTCCAGTGCTTATCCTACAGCACCACACCAGGACTCCATAGGCACTCCATAAATATTTGTTTACTGACTGAATGAATATACAGGCCACTGTCCAACAAATTTTCACTTTTCACTAGTCTATGAGCAACTTTTGTTATTGTTAAGTGCTGTCAAGTCGATTCCGACCTATAGCGACCCTGTATAGGGTTTCTGAGGAGCGACTGGTGAGTTTGAACCACTGACACTGCAGTTCAAATGGCTTTGCAGTCTGGCTATTAACAGCGCCACACGAGGACTCCTAAGAACAACTACCCATATGGCTTTCAGCTGCTAACCATGTGGATTCGAGATGTGTTTTCCTGGACTCAGGCCTCCACTGCCTGCTAGCCTGGGCTCTGTCCCCACTTTGTAGCCAACAGTAAGCATCATCTTCACACATCCTGCTTATGGCCCAGCTGCCAGCTATCAGCCCTTCCCATAGTACATCAAAGGGACACAAGGAAAGGATCCCTTTAAGTGGCTTATCTGCCTTGCCCTAGTAAAAGCTAATTAGAACTCCAATTAGCAGATGAGAGGTAACACCAGAATGCAGGCAGCAGGTCACAGCCAGGGTAACCACAGCTTTTTTCTAGAGTTTCTCCCAATATTTCTCTCCATGTAACCTCAACGTGCCATCAAGTCAGCTTCATTTTATGGCCCAGCCTCTGAGTCCCTCATCTACTTCATCCTGCTAACAAAGGCCTAGCTTTCCTTTCCCAACCACCGAAATACAATGGGGCTTCAAAAAGTTTATGGAAAACATAAGCTTTTAATTCAGTCTTTCCAGAAACTTTTTGAAGGTCCTTTGTATGATCCCCAAAGTCTACCATCTCGAGAATCACTCCCTGGGTGATTCTCATCATGCTCAATACCAAACAAAAATCCTTTCTAGAATCTTTTGATACTGCAAAAAGGCTGGTATATTCCTCCCACTGGGTCTCAAGAGAACTTAAGTTCCTAAGAAATTAGGTTCCCAGTTTGATATATAGACACCCTAGACAGAGCCAGGCCTAACTAACCAACACTAAGGCCACACCACTTCCATCCTCTGTATACTCAAAGCGCAGGTGTTTGACTTGTCATTCGTGAGATCAACAATAGTGACCACAGGAAAAAGAGGTAACTTTGCACTAATATTGGAAGAGCTTACTTCTCCGGTAAAATACGACAGGTTTTAATGTGTTCCACATCCCTTGTCTCTCCTCCTGCCCTGGTTGAGGGATGTTCACTATAGAATGAAATGTTATCTCTAAGACACTTGAGACGGAAAGCTAGGAAATAATGAAAGTGATGTTAGGACTTCCCATTCATTCGGTGCTTATCTGTCCCGACATCACAGCTCAATGTGGGAATGAAATAGCATTCCATTTCCTAACATATTGTCCTAGGACCTAGATTCTGATGTGCCATCATTTGCTCCCCCTGCTTCCCTTGACTTTCCTCCAGACTTGAATAGTCAGATTTTCCTTTTCATAACAGGATCTTCAGGAATCTGCTCTTTCCCTTTGTTGGAAATACTCCTGAGCCTTGTTCTTTCTCTCAGAGTACTAGTGTTCATCTCAGATCTTTGTCCTCTTGCTTCCTCTGAGTCTCTATCTCAACTTGTAACACATTTCCTGCTTGGAGCCCAAGAGTCGCAGCGCCTTTCAGACTGAAGCTGAGTTTATCTTCAGAACACACAGTGAAACCAGTCAGAGCATAAAAGGAAAGTGCAGCAAAGGAGATAAAACTGAGTCGAAGAACAATGCTAAACGGCATCTTCTGAGTTCAGGGTCCTCATTTCTGCTCTGCCATGATCATAATTAATAGTAAACAACAAATGGTGAAAAAAACAAGCGCCCATATGGCATTGGATAACTTACTAAACCATTCTTTGGTTTCATTCTCCCATCTGTCATGCAAAGAGAACAATACTGCTCCCTCCTTGTTTTTTAAAGGTCTATGGAGAGGAAAAACAATAAAAAGTTTCACCCGATTAAACAACAACACTATATTAAAAAAATATTTCAAAAATATAAATCTCTTGATAAATATAGAAAGCAGAAATCTAGACCTTGTATCAACTCTGTCAGCCATGTATTTACCCAAATAATTCCCTTGTTGCTAAGTACTGTCGAGTCGGTTCTGACTCAGAGAGGCACTGTACAGGGTTTCCGAGGAGTGGCTGGTGACTTTGAACCACCAACCTTGTGGTTCAAACTGACCTTGCAGTCCAGAGCATTAACTCACAGCGCCACACCCAGACTCCTAAGGAGGAAAAAGAGAACCCTACTTTATAACAGTGTTTCCCTCGGTTGTGCATAGGGGTCAATGTAAGTTGGAACCAACTTGATGGCACCTAATAAAAACAATACTATATATATAACCAGACATCTGGGCTAGCACTGTGGCTGTGACTTAGCTCAGGTCTGACAAAATACAGTGCCAGTGCTAAGTGGAGCACTGCAGACAATGCAACAAAGTCCCCCAAATCTGTACAGTTTTCTGGATGTCAGGCACCTTGGAAGACATGCCTGGAAATCTGCTTGCAAAGTTCACATCCTAGAAAATGCTATGGGGCAGTTCTACTCTGCATACACTGGTTCGCCATGTGTCGAAACTAACAAACATACCAGAATCTATTCACAACAAGGAGCGTCAAGGTGTAAAATTATTACGCTTTAAGGTTGCTCATCCAGATCACCAAATCTTTAGAAAAGTTAAGTCCTCTACCAGGGGACCCACCACTCATCTGTCAGTTTGTCATACTGTGGTGGCTTGTGCATTGCTATGCCACTGCCATTTTAAATCCCAGCAGGGTATCCGTGGTGAACAGGTTTCAGCTAAACTTCCAGACTAAGACAGACTAGAAAGGAGAGATGGACTACTTCAGAATGTTTAGCCACTGAAAATCTTATGAATAGCAGATATTGAGCCAGAAGATGAGTCCCTCAGGTTGGAAGGTACTCAAAGTACAACTGGGGAAAAGCTGCCTCCTCAAAGTAGGGTTGACCATGATAACACAAATGCAGCAAAGATTTCGGGACCTTCATTTGCTGATGGGGCACAAATCAAAATGAGGAGAAACAGCTGCCAACATACATTAATAATCAGGACATGAAATGTACTAAATTTGGAATCTAGGAATATTGGAAATAGTAAAAAATGAAATGGAACGCATAAAACCAGTCCCTGGCGAAGGACACCACACTTAGTAGAGGATCAGTGAAAATGTGGAAGACTCCCCCAAAGAAATGGATTGTGCGGAAGGGTAGGACCGGACAGTGTTTCCTTCTGTTGTGCGTAGAGTTGGAGGAGACTGGAGGACACATAACCACCACCACCAGGGGAATACATGGGCCTCATCACTCAGATTTCATAAGAAGCACTCCAAAGTCCTGCAAGATTAGGATCAGTACTGGGCACTGGAACATGGCTCCTGCCGGGTCCCTGTTTCGATGCTGTTACATTACTGATCTGAAATGGGAGTCCAGTTTTCCCTTCCTCTCCTCTTTTGCCCTTCTCCAAGAAGTTCCTTTAAACAAGCTTGTTATTCTAAGGCCCTTTAAACTCCACCCAGAGAATTCCCTTCAAGGACAACAGTTCTTCTTGTCTCCTTTGAGACTGCCTCCATTTCTCCCCAGGATTCCCCACCTTACCCCGCAATCTGGTCTTCTGTCTCTCCCTTTCCCACGACGGCTCTGCAGCAGACCCCTTAAACTGAGACCCTCCCCCGCCGCCCTCCCACCCCAGCTCCCTTCCCTCCAGGGCCCCCGGAGCGTGGGTACCCCCGTCCACCCCGGGTCCCCAGGCTCCCCCACGCCTCCTTCCCGGTGCACTCACAGGAGGCCAGAACAGGTGGTGCAGACGAAGCTGCCCACGGTGATGTCCACGTAGGTGACCCCGCGCTGGGCGCACTCGAAGCAGTGGCGGTTCCCGGCCTGGCTGCAGCCTCCCAATTCGCGCACCCGGCGACACCACACCTCCGAGGCTGCCTCCGCGTCTGCCTTTCCCCCGCCGACCCCGCCACCGGGGCCTGGGCCCTTCTTGGCCGCCATCACCATCGCAGCCCACTCACTCAAACCTTCGCCCCTTCCCGCCTCTTCAGCCGCCTCCGCAAGCTCAGCTCCGCTGACAGCGCGCAGCAGCTGCGGGCAGCATCCGCGCTAGACTCCCGACCCCCTACCTCTTCTATCCTGCACTCTGATTGGCTGCTTTCCTCCCACCTCCTCACTCTGATTGGCGAACACTGAACAGCCCCGGGTTAAAGGAGCCACCAACGCCACGCCCCGCTGTTTTAAGACCTCGGGCCTCTCCCATTGGCCAGTGGCGTCGGGGTCGGGAACAGAACGTGCCCTCTCCTGTCCCCTCCCCATCTCGCCACCGCCTTCCCAGCCCGCCGCCTCCCAGCAATGCTTGGTGCGTCCTCCCCCAACTCTCCCTATCCCGGAACTCGGGCTCCAACGCCAGTTCTGATTGGCTGGCAATGCTGCAAAATTAGCGCGCGAGAAAGAGGAGGTGTCCCAGGGGTGCGCAGCTCAGATGCTCACTAGACCGACGACGTTAATTCCCGCCAAATTTTAAATACCTACTTTTAGGTGGGTCCTGGGGTGGCACTGTGGGTTCATGCGCTGGGCTGCAAAGTCAGTTTGAACCGCAAAGTCAGCAGTTCAAGCTCACCAGCCGCTCCTTGGAAACCCTATACAGGATTGCTATGGGTCGGAACAGACTCAACAGCACTTAACAACAGAAACAACTTTAAGACTGGACTCCTGGTGTGGCGCTGTAGGATCAGCACTGGACTGCGAACCACAAGGTAAGCAGTCCAAACTCACCAACTGCTCCTCGGAAATCTTATACAAGGTCGCTAGGAGTCGGAACCGACTGGACAGTACTTAACAAAAACAACAGGTTTTAGACTAGGAGACCTGTTGGCACCGTGGTTAAAGTGCTCGACGACTAACCAAATGGTCAGCAGCTTGATCTCAGTAGCCACTACGTGGGAGAGAGATACGGCAGTGGACCTCCATAGAGATTTACAATCTTGGAAACACTATGGGACAGGTCTGCTTTGTTCTGTAGGACCACCAGGAGTCAGAGTCACTTCAAGACAAAGGTGTGACTTTTTATTTCCAGATTAAAACAGACCAGGAAGAAAAGCTTGGCAATCTACTAAAATATGTTCATGCAAACTTAGTGGATGACAACAGAATATTGTCTACTATAGGGTAGAAAGATGAATGCAAACACATCAAAGGTAGTGAAGATGGCACAGCTGGGGACAACATACATAAGTTCGCCATAAATTAGGGTAGACTTGATGATGACAACATTCTCAGGTAGTCTGTGCAGAAGGAAAGACTCCTGGAGGTGTAAGGGTTAAACATTTACTCAGTGTTTTGCAGGAGGTGAGCTCCTGGCAAGTTCACTTTGGATTCATGTTGTTGTTATTAAGTGCTGTCGAGTCAATTCCGACCCATAGCGACCCTGTGTAGGGTTTCCAAGGAGCAGCTGGTGAGCTTGAACCACTGACCTTGAAATTCAAATGACTTTGAAATCTGACACATTAGCCCATAGAAGCCCAAAAAACTACACAGGGAATTCATACCACTATATTGTCTCCCATGGCGGCCAGTGGGACATGCGTCTCTGGAGACCCACCTGGAGCGGCATCCCCGCCTCCTCCCAGTCTTGCCTAAGCTGATATGTCACTGCCCAAGCCCCTCTGGCCTCTCCAGGAAATGATGAAGCAGATACCCTAGGGAGGATGTGCTGGCTCAGATAAGTTCCTGCGTCTAATGTCGCAGGTTGACTGAACAAGGAGTTACTACATGCCGCCAAAAGACGACGTGGAAGGTCACAAAACAATGGAGAGTTCTGCTGATGTGTGAACAAGTGTTGGATGCTTGCAAAACATGTATCCCGTGCTCTTGCTGCAATGTACAGTGACCCCCGATGGGGCTGGGCAGTGTGAAAAGGGAATATGTACGGTGGCCCCTGAGGTGACCATGATGCACACAGGAACATCAAGTTTATTACAGGGAACATTTGTTTTGTCAGTATTGCCTGAGCATGTCCCACCAATAGCCTTACGTGTGAGTCCCTCAGTGTGCCCATCTCTAAGAGTATGTGGGTTTGGTACACCTGGCTAGGTCACGGCCCAGTGTTGTCCACTGACAAGCGATGCTTTGCGCTGTCAGTATGGCTTGCATATTGGCGGATGGGTGGAATCTACCTTTGCTTATTCCTTTATGCTTGTTGTCTTATTATCCATAAGGTGGGTTGCTGGAAACACCTATGTTGAATGGACTACCATGTTTGCAACAGTGACCAGTGAGTCCAACTGCAGGATGTGCTCCCAGTTGCCTGTCAGTAGTGTATCTGGGCTGCTTTGGAAAATACAGCCAGTCAATACATCCATGTGGATGGCTCTTGCTCCCTGGAACTGCATGTTTAATGACACTTGGGAACTTGTGAAGGTTTTGGTTCTTGAATAAGTGAACTGAACCCCCTAGGGAAATGGTGGGCTGCTGTAGGTCGCTATAAAACACTTTTTGCATGTTGCATTGTTGTGCGGTGGAATCGGTTCCGACTCATAGTGACCCTGTACAGGCTTTCTGAGGCTGTAAATCTTTACGGGAGCAGAAAGCCTCATCTTTCTCCTGCAGAACAGCTGGTAGTTTCGAACTGCCGATCTTGCGGTTCGCAGCCCGATTCGGAACCACTACGCTATCAGAGCTCCTTTGCATTTGCATTACTATGTTGCTGTTTAGTTTACTGTCGCTGTGGCATTTGGATGCAATGTACTAATCATATGCTCCCACAGGGCCCTCACAGAAGATGCTCCTGTAGATTGTGAAGTGGGTATCCTGTAGGGATGGAATGTTGTGGAAATCTGTATGTTCTAGGAGCTGTGCCTGTGGTACCAAGACTTCATAACTTTGTATTAGCCTTCTAGTAGTCTCTCAATGATCTAATAGCTCGCCAAGGGTCTTGTAAGTGGCCTTGTGTACAACTTTACCTCATCAGCCTTGGGGACCACCTGCACCATGTAACTCACTTATGTAAATCAGTTATAACTAGTTGGCAGCCTCTCTTCTTTGTTCTGCTGTATCAGCCTAGGCAGGACTGGGAGGGTGCGTGGTTTCTCCTCAAGGTAGATCTTGAGAGACACTTGTCCCACTGGCTGCCATTGGAAACAATAAAGGGGTATGAATCCCCTTTGTGAGGCTCTGTGTAGTTTTCTCAGCCTCTCTGAATCCACAGCAAACCCGCCAGGAGCTGAGCTCCTGCAAACATACTCAGCACTAATTGAAAGGTTGGCTGGTGGATCTAGCAGCTCTGCGGGAGAACTATCTGGAGACTTGTTGCTTCAGTAAAACTTACAGCCAGGGAAGTCCTACAGGACAACTCTACTTTGTCATATGGGGTCTCTATGAGTTGGAGTCCACCGGAGGGCACACAGGAACAGCAAGGAGAATGGAGGAAAGAAGGGGAAAGGGAAGAGGAATACGAAGTGCTTTATAAATGTGATTTCTTTATGAGCCATAGGCAGAATCTCCACTGCTGTCTTATTTAAGCCACTTGCTGTACGTTGGACACCCAGGATTCTAATCTGGGCCTTCCAACTTTAGAAACCTCGCTCCTAACCACTACATTATTCTTTGACTAGCATTTGGTCATTAATTGGACATTTTGTTGTTGTTGTTTAATGCTGTCAAATTGGTTCCGACCCATAGCAACCCTGTATAGGGTTTCCGAGGAGCAGCTGGTGAGCTTGAACCGCCGACCTGATGGTTAAAACTGACTTTGCAGTCCAGTGAATTAATACCCAGACTCCGATTTGACACTTACTTACTGTCTCTTATGACCTCAGGCACTGTTCTGTTATTCTGTGCTGTCCAGTCAGATTCAACTCGTAGCAATCTTGTTCAGGGTTTTCTAAAGCAGCTGATGGGTTTGATCTGCTGACTTTGTGGCTAGCAGTTTAGTGCTTATCCTCCAGCGCCACACCTAAAACTGTTCTAGACACTGGGAATATAGTAGTAACATAAATAAAAGTTCCTATCCTCTGGGATCCTACAATGAGTAGTGGAACGAGACAGACAATGAGTTCAGTAAGTTCAGTAAGGTGTTGTAAAGGAGAGTGACTTATTGGTTACTTTAGACTGGATTGGTTAAATGGTGACATTTATCACATGTCTGTGATAGGATACTATCCATATGCCTATACAGGAGGGACGCTATGGGTCAGAACCAACTCCACAGCACTTAACAACACAAGGAAGACCAGATAATACCACTATTATTCAAATTTATGCACCAACCACTAAAGCCAGTGATGTTGAAATTGAAGAATTCTACCGACTTCTTCAGTGGGAAATGGATCAAATATGCAATCAAGGTGTACTGATAATTACTGATGATTGGAATACAAAGAGGTTGGAAACAAAGGTTGGAAACAAAGAGGAAGGATCAGTAGTTGGAAAATATGGCCTTGGTGATAGAAATAATGCTGGAGATCTCATGATAGAATTCTGCAAAACCAATCGTTTCTTCATTGAAAATACCTTTATTAAACAACATAAAAGATGACTATACACATGGACCTCTCCAGATGACATACACAGAAATCAAATTGACTACATCCGTTGAAAGAGATGGTGGAAAAGCTCCATGCCATCAGCCAAAACAAGGCCAGGGGCAGACTGTGGAACAGACCATGTGCGAGTTCAGGATGAAGCTGAAGAAATTTAGAGCAAGTCCAGGAGAGTCAAAATATTGCCTTGAACATATCCCTCCTGAATTTAAAGTTCATCTCAAGAGCAGATTTGATGCATTACACACTAATTACTGAAAATCAGAAGAGTTGTGGGAAGACATCAAGATATCATAAAAGAAGAAGGCAAAACGTCATTAAGAAGACAAAAAAGAAAGAAAAGACCAAAATGGATGTCAGAAGAGACTCTGAACTTGCTCTCCAGCCTAGAGATGCTAAAGCAAATGGAAGAAATGAGACAAATGAGCTGAATTGAACATTTCGGAGAGCAGCTCCAGAAGATAGTCAAGTAGTATCCTGAAATGTACAAAGACCTGGAGTTAGAAAACCAAAAAGGAAAAAGACCACACTCAGCATTTCTCAAGCTGAAAGAACTGAGGTAAAAATTCAAGCC